TCGGAGTCATTGTTACATCTAGGTAACAGTACTCTTGAACGACTCTCAGTTGTTGTCCATTAATTAACCAATTTTCGTCGATTCCAACCTTTCTCCCTCTTCTGAAAATTATCATTTTTGACTTATCCATACTGACTTCCATGTTCCATATATTGCAGTACTCGCCCAGTTTTCTCTGCACTATATTTATATCGTCTGCCAGGATCACAATGTCATCCGCATACATAAGAAGTAGTATATTGATTTATTCTATCCAAAGTCCTCATCCTAGAAAGTCATGCAAGTCATTGAGGTATAGAGCAAATAGCAGCGGAGAGAGAAAATAACCTTTTTTACCGCGGAATGCGTTTCGAAATCGTCGGATAGCTCGCGATTTATGCAAACTGCCGCTATTGTGTTTTTGTACAATCTCAATAAATCTCACCGCTTTAGGAGCCAAGTAAATAATTTTTATATCAGAGATTTGTGATCCGCCTTATCAAATGATGCCCTAAAATCGACAAAGAACGCATATACTTTTTTGTTCTCGCTAAAGTTCAATTGTACGACTGCCGAAAGGTTATGTATGTTGTCTGCAGTAGAGTAGTTCCTCCGAAACTCATTAATGAAATTATTACTTCCCGATCGTAAATATAACCTCTCACTTAATATGTACTCCCATAAATAGTTTCCTTATGCAGTTCATAAACGATATAGTTGTAAATGCTCGCAATACTTTTGTCTCCATTTCACAAACGTCTCGTCTATTTCACATTCGTCATAAATTGAATTATAGGTTTTAACTGTTTCCTCTAGAAATATTTGGGGAGCATGTTTTAGATACTCATATGGTACGGTATCTTCGCCAGCCGCCTTGTTCGGTTTGACTTTTCCCAACACCGCCTTTCCTTCTTAAATTGTGATTTTTGCATCAACTCTATCATCTGTAGTGTACATCGCCGCGTACTGAATGTCATGCGAAATCTGATGAGGGTTTAGGAGAATCTTAAAGTGATATCTAAGAAGAGATTCTGATACAGTCTATCCTCTTATTTCTCGTGCTACTCTCCACCAGCCGTTGCTGTTTTTAATACTATCCATGGTACGCTGTAAACGTCCATAATAATATTGCCGAGCTTTTTAACATATGTTTTTATATCTTTTGAACGCTTTTAAGTATTGTGCTCTACTCGTGTTATCCCAAGCGTTGCCATACGGCCAGAGTTCCTTATAAGCAGTTTTTTTTTTGCTTGTGAGCATTTGACAGTAAACCACTTTTGGTTTTGTCTTGATGAGGTCTACCGCCTCCCCAAGCCATACACCAAGCTCTCTAACTTCGCTCTCACGTTTTCAGCCAATTGTTCTTTGTAGCGTTCAGGCGACTTTTCCTTCCAAAAAAGTTTTGGTAGGCCTACAACGTGTTTGTCTTGGTATCTCTGTGACTTTTAATTTTATACTCAGCACAATAGGCAAACTTAAAGTATCTATATGCCAGTAGTGCCTGTGATACGGCGCATACATCATTTACTACAAGCGTAAATTCACCCAATTGGTCACCACCCCATAATCCTCAAACAGTTGAATAAGCTCTTTACCTCTAGCGTTTTGTGTTGTGTCCTTAGACTTTCTCTCTCGCGGTGGGATCAGTATAAGTATTGTCGGCATATTTCTGTAAACTTCCTCTCCTAATGTTCATGACTCCTATAAAAATCGGGTTAATCAGCTCTTCCTCTCTAAACAAATTCTCAAGATTTTCGTAGTCGCGTTTCGATTTCGCGGTATTTAGCCAAGACCTATACATATATAAACCTTGGTATTAAGCAAATTTCTGCCGGTAGCCGGTGGTCCCTTCTTTTCAAAATTCCTCCTAACACATATCAACATACCGCCACTTTCTCGACCATGTGTTTTTTCCTTCACTGCCTAAAAATTTTTAAGAATTTATTTCTTTCCCCATAACTACGTGAGTTTCAAGAACAGCGAACATTTAAAAAGATTTTACATATTTAAACAAATTTCAGTATAAAATTTTGTTTTCTAGCCCATGTACATTATATGACAATTTTGTTAACTTGTCTTTTTTAATAACTGCATCGTTAATGCAAAATATAATATGATACGAAACTCTTTCTCTCGTGAGAGCGCTGTAAAAGGTGCATTTTTATAACATCCCCCAATATTGCCACATCAGCGAAATACATATGGGGAGAATTACTGAGTGAATTTTGGTGAACTTTTTCATTTAACAAAACAAGCAAATGTTTTGGAATTTTAATGTCTTCTTCATTATTTATTGTTAAAAATTATCATTTAAAATGTGTTTTCTTCAAATCGTTATCTTTAAGCAAGATTTTGTAATGTGATTGCAGGAAATCCATTGAAATTAATTCGGCGCGTTTTGTGTGTATCAAGAGCTCGCTATTTTGCTTGTCAGCTGTTCAGTCCAACTTTATTTGACAGTGCTACAAATTCAGAAAACGAGTTTAAGCTACTCGGAAGCAAAATGAGAGAGTTTCTTATCATGTCATCCTTGCTCAATGCTACAAGTATTGCTTGCAATTTGTTTTTTTCTTTTACTTTTTCTAGCAATATTCCATAGCTTATATGTTCTACTTTGAAGCAATATCCATATAAATTTTTCAAAACTACATCTGCTTCCTGTTGGCCACACATCAGGATTCTCCTTCTAGAACATTCGGTTGCCTGCGACGTTTATAGGATCATCTCGTACAGAAATTTTGTCTGATTTGTTTTTCTGCAACAAGCAAAAGTAAGAAGAAACTAATATTTGTGATCATATGGTGGAGTCAATGTCAATGTTACTGTGGCTTGTTAACATTTTATTTTTAATATTTTTATTGAGCTTTGTACCACGATTGTTTGTTAGGGAAAAATGAAAAAGCAACAAAGTCTAAGCGGTAGAAGTTATAGCAGCTATTTCGGAGATCACCACAGCTCCTCATCAGTCTTCTTTTTTCTATACTTCAGCAGAGATCGAACCTGCGTAATCGAGTATAATCTATTTAAAAAGGGGGATGAGAGTTGTTAGTTATCTCGAAAATAACTTTCAGTTTAATAAAAACAAATTAGAATGATTGAATGGCTTTTGCCTACAACTTACAAATTTACTGACATTGTAAGAGCATATCGGTTAATTGCAGTCCTTATTTTCGTGCGGAATCATAAAAGGCCTCGAACAATTACCAAGATCTGGTACCTAGTTTTAAAGCATTTAAAAAAGTATTTAATAGGTTTTGGTTAGAAAAATATTATATTTTCGCGTGTAAGTGAGTTAAAGAAGGCGTTTTTGGTTTAGTGTATAATTATTTATTTCTTTAATCACGATTAAGTAAAAAATGCATTGGAAGGCACATCATTGCGAAATCTCTTATTTCAACGCCTTCAAACCAATAGATTAGCTGTTAATTTAAATCAGTGGTGCACACGGGAGTCTCCGGGAGCTACTCGGCTTTCACAAAAGCGTTCTATATTGGTACAGTTTTTTAAGTTACTCGTCAGCGCATCAGTAACATGGCTGACGATGGTTGTATCGTCACTTTTACTGACGATGACGATATTCAACATAGGGCAGAATATTCATGAATTAAATAGAAAAAATTTAAAACGCGAATTTATTGCATGAAGAGAAAGGGTGATAATAACCTAACCAAAGGCATGTGAAATGGACCATTTTAAAAAGAATTGGACCAGTGGACCAGACGAAAAGAAATGGACCAAATTTGGTCCATTTGGACCAAAACGGCAACTGTGGTCGTGTGTGCGCAGCTGCTGAACATATGCGCCGCTAGCAGTCGGTCAGTTTGCGTTTGTACTTCATGCTGTAAGCATCACATGCCCGAGCTGTTTTGCTGAGTACACACATACAGATACAACAAGTAAGAAAGTCTAAGTTCGGGGGGAGCCGAACATTAAATACCCGGCGCAAGTATTAAATATATGATTTTCACGTTTCCGAAAGCTACCACTACATGGTAAGCCGAAGTGTATCAATTTTGAGTAAATTAGCGTCCTTAAATTTAGAAATATTGAAGTTTCAAGCATTTCTGTAATTTGCCGTTATATGAAAAGCGGCCTCAATTTTAGTCCGATTTCAATCATTTTCAACGTTTTGCTTTTATGTGGCAAACATAATAACCATACCCAGTTTGGTACAAATTGGTAGAACGGTTACCGAGATACATATATGTGATCAAAAGTAGGCGGTGCCACGCCCATTTTCCAAAATTTTATCATAAGCGTATTTCTTGGTTAAGAATTTTTGCAAGCATAAATTTTGAATAAATTAGCTTTAATATTTACTGATTTATCGAAGATTTTGCATTTCTCTAAATTACCGTTATATGGGATGTGGGCGTGGTTATTGTCCGATTTTAAAACTTTTCGGCAATTTGGTATGGTGTACCAAGGCCAACAACTTTGCCAAGCTTGGAAGTAATTGGTGCAGCGGTTACCAAGATATACACATGTAAACATAAGTGGGCGTGCACAAGTGCGCTCGGGTATAAAAATGTTGCGCTTGTATTGGGAGCTCTGCCAACGCTGTGCACCACTGATTTAAATTAACGGTGTCTCCAATGTCATTGATTTATTTTCCGTTATACGGGGTAAGTATAATGTACTTCTCTTTCAATTATTGAAAACTCATTTAAAATAGGGTAAATAATTTAGTCATTCAAGTTTTAATGTTGTTTACATTCACGTTAGTGCGTAGACTCGGAGAGATTACTTAGTCTACTATCAAGAGTAATGCAAACAGCTTGTTGTTGAGGTAAAAGGCAAACTTCTCAATTTACCACAGGGGTTCAGTTGTTTTTTTAATTATGTCGAACTCATGGAATTCCCAGCTTTGTATAATTGTGTAACTTTTCACTGTACTCAACAAAGTTACCGGACTTTCCATTTCTCTCACTTCGGAGTTTTATTTTTTTGAGGTCAATTCCCTTTAGCGTCACTCAGATTTGTATGTATTTTTACGCATCTAAAATTTATTTCTCTTTCAGACAAAACACATTTCCTTCGGCTGCGATCGAGACATCACCAACTGCTCCACGGGTCTCTCTTTGATTGACTTACTGCCCCGTAATGCTGAGTGGACAAAAGATCTGAGTTATGATGAGGGATTCGAACCAGTTTTTCATTTCGATGGCTCAACCGGCGTGATTGTGCCTAATGCTTTGATTACACACCATGACTTTTCGACGCGCTCGTTCAGCATAGTCACCATTTTCAGGCACTACAGCCTGGCGACCGCCAGCAAACACATCAAAGAGCACTTGATATGTAGCGCTGATGATCACAGAATGAACCGTCACCACATGGCGTTATTCGTTCGAAATTGCCGACTGATTTTATTGCTGCGTAAAAATTTTAATGATGGCGACCTAAATATTTTCAGTCCTGCCGAGTGGCGTTGGAAGATTCCGCAGGTATGCGACAACGAGTGGCATCACTATGTGCTAAATGTTGAGCAATCATCTAAAGTGGAGTTATACATTGACGGCGTGCGGTTTGAGAACTCCGTGGAGGACCGCCACAGCAATCCCGAAGTGATAGACGATTGGCCACTACATGCGGCGCACGGTGTGAACACGACCCTAGCCGTGGGCGCATGCTACCAAAGTTCGGAAACCCGCTTGAAACACGGCTTCAAGGGTGACATTTCTGTAATAAAAGTATCGCTCAATTCGGTGCAGTCGCCAGAAGACGTCCGCTGTGGCACCAACTGTGCCGAGCATTTGCTGCCACCACCAGAAAGTCTGCTAGAAGCCGACTCGCAGGTACAAACCAATGCGCAAATGAACGAAATCTATATTGAGGGTCAGAGTATAAGCAACGTAGAACAATTGCTGCAAAAAATTCAATACATCAATACCAAAGAGAGTCCCACAATCGGCCGAAGAAATATTGAAGTGCGCACGACCCTGATGTGCATCAACCAAAGCGCCACGCGACTACCGACTATTGAGACCTACATAATGGTGAATGAACCCGGCCAAATGGTACTGGCAGGGCGGTTAGCCGGTAACAACAACGCCATTTTTAATAGTGTCATGAACGTTGGAGAGTTGAAGGATAAATTTGGGACAGTAACAGACACACCATTTGCTAAATTGTCGTCACCGGTAACTAACGCACCGAAGGATGTTATCAATTCAATGGAGCACAAATCGTTGGATGCTCACAGCGAGGAAAAAGCCAAAATTATAATAAACGGTAAGCTATATCGTGCAAATGTAAAATCGACCGATGGTCCTGATAGGTGGGATTAAGGCGGTTACCATAGACACACTTAGACCATGGTATGATAATTGCTAAAGTGAAAAACCTGTCCGTAGTTTCACAATCGCCATATGTAAGTATCAGAAAACTCCTCAGAACTATTTAAAAATAACGATCCAATGCATTTGGGCTGTAGCAGCGCAAAATCTGGCTTGTCCAAGGAAAAGTGGAGAGATGATTCCACCTTACGTCCTGTAAAATGCTGAAACACTGAATATTCGGTGTGATATTAAGTGCTACTGCTTGAGTACACATCGAAAGATCCCTTGACCGGAACCGGTCCACCATGTTAAAGATAGTAGGCATTCTCTACTAGCTTTCTATTCAGTATATTCAGTCTATGATTACAATCTTACAGACTAGATAACAGATAAGACAATGATAATTAAAACTAAATACTATAGATTTAGATACACAAGTAGTTATAAGAGAAATTAATAAATAGACTATTTGCATATACATATTTCTCGCCAACGAAAAATCAATACTTAGACCTTTGAGATCTTGTTAAATTCTGCAAGAGCACGGAAAATTTACCAACAGCTATATCATAACCAAACATAAGCAACTGGACAATTCTTCTAGTTTCAAGAGTTTGTAAGTTAATAAGCTTACACCGCGAATTACAAGATGGCATCGGGTCATCAAAATTGAGGGAACTTAAAGCAAAACGAACAAAGTTGCTTTGCACTATTTCGATTCTGGTGGCATATTAGCCGTCCATATAATAGAAGTGTACTAAAGAGATAAATAACGCTTTCTTAGAGTAGGGATCCTTAAAGTCGTATGCATATTTATTTACTTCTTTGTATAGTCTACAGAAAAATGTTTTCTTACAAACAAGCGAGATAAAAAGATTTAGATATTTAAGTATGTATGATATATTACAGAGTAAAATAATTATACATATTCATTTGTAATAATTATAATAACAATATAAAATAGCAAGTTGGGTAGCTGGCGAGGCCTAGTCTCCAGTCTATTTTTGTGTGTGGCGGGCGGAAATACTTAATTCCCTCTCCGCGCTGTGGACAAGCTCTCATGGTTGGAAAGGCCGAGTTTCCGCTCCATGGTTCCGAAGTCATTACGTTATATGTGAGGCAGGCGGAAAGGCCTAGTTTCCGCTCCGCCCTGTGGACGAACTGTTGGGCTTGGTCAGAAAGACCGAGTTTCCGATCCATGCTCGTATTGTCTTAAGCGGTCGCGAAAATATACGAAGCTGTTACAATTATACTAAGCAGTCATAGATATTGTGTAATTTTTTCGTTCCCGGTTAAATATATTAATTTATTTATTTAACATGTGAGGAAAGTTTTCTTTATTACAAAACGCGATTCAGATTTGTCGAAGCAATCATAATGCTTGTTAAAGTCTTGGCATAAACCACAAAAAGCATCATGCATTTTTAAATTTTGATTTACAAATACTCAACACAATAGGTTTAAAATATCTCGAGGGTCCTGCAGGAGTACAAAAATTTATCTCACTCAGTAAAAAGGGACTACTGCCCATCCCGTTCATTAGTTTAATTAAAAAAAAGGACCCTAAGCATCTCTCTACGACTTTGAATGTCGGCAAATCTATAAGCTTCAGGCGATCTTTGTAGGGTGGGAGATTTTTAGACGAGTCCCAACGTAAATGTTTTAGGGCAAATAACAGGAACTGTTTCTGCACTGATTCGAGCCTGTCACTATGAATTTGATAACTAGGATTCCATACTACAGATGCATATTCCAAAATCGGTCTTACTAGAGAGGTAAAAAGAACTTTAGTGACATAAGGATCGTTGAGCTCCTTACTCCAGGGCTTAATAAAAGCCAACACTTATCTAGGCCTAATCACGCAGGAGTTTATGTGAGACTTCTAGTATCTTCTAGTTTCGGATCCATAGTTACACCTAGGTCAATGAAATTGGTTACTTGCTCAACATTGTGGTCAGATATCATATACGAATTTGAGTGGAACGATTTTCTAGAGAAGAACATGCATTTACACTTTTTCAAATTGAGTGACATGGAATTGGCTTCACACCACTAGAAAATGCTAGTTAGGTCAGCTTGCAAATGCTCCCTATCTTCTGCACTACTAATGTACTTAAAGAGCTTAACATCATCAGCGTACATTAAGCATTTCGAATAGCTCAACACCTTAGGAAGGTCATTTATAAATAAAATAAACTAGAGGGGACCAAGATATCCGGACGTGACATGTATTTCCCGAGAAGTACAATTTTCAAAAATTACTCTTTGTTTGTTTCTATCTACTAAGTAAGAAGAAAGCCAGCTGAGAATAATAGGAGGGAAACCAATTCGATCAAGTTTATATATAAGGGTTGAATGTGATAATTTATCAAATGCCTTGCTGAAGTCAGTGTAAATCACGTCCGTTCGTAGATTGTTCTAAAACCCATTAGATACATAAGTAGTGAATTCAAGTAGATTAGACACAGTTGACTTACCTTTGAAAAAACCGTGTTGCGATAGGTCAATAGCAGAAGTAATAAAGTGAGATAGTTTTTCCGTAACGATTGCCTCAAAAACTTTAGGAATAGCACAAAGCTTCGCAATTCCTCTATAGTTTACTATGTTAGTCCTACTTCCGTTTTTATAAAGTGGCAAGATAATCGAATCCTTCCAGGAAGATGGGAAGACACCCTGTTTTAGGGAAGCATTAAAAATATTTGTCAGAGGCTTATACAAATGTTCTGCACAACTTTTAACGACACTTCCTTAACAGGAGGAATGATTTTTACTGAAAATATGGCGTATGGAATTGCTAAAATGTAAGTCATTATCTTCAGCATTCAGCAAATTATCTTCGATACCTCTAACCTAAGTTTACTATAATCTGCAGTTTTAAATGAGTAACGCTCCGCCCTTCTAGTGGTGGGTGGTGAAAATCACCAGATGTAATCAGAGCATAACTACGCGCTACTGTGACTTTGGAAACGTCATCCACAAAACCTAAATCCAGACATTTACCTAAATTATTACTAATAGAGTTGATCTGGTAAAGACGTAGGTCTGAAAGATCGTTCAAAAATTTATTGAAGAGATCACGAGAGTAATTTGGTACTGAAATACCATCTATTACATTCCAAGAAACACCCGCAAGACCGAAATCAGCCAGGACAATAACAGTGTCGGAGGGCTTCACCATGACATGTAGAGAGGGTAGTAAGGAGGAGTGTTTTAAATAAACAGAAAGGCTCGAGTTAAATGGTATATAAGTAGCAACAAGATAAGTGTTTATAAGTGTTATTAGAATGATATCTTATTCGAACGCAGAGGAATTCAGCTTCATCGGTGTCAGTGAACTCAATTTCTTCAGAAGAAAGGTCAGTCTGGACAGCTATTAAGACGCCTCCACCTTTTTTTATTTAAACGGTCATTTCGAAGCACTCTTACTTAGGACACAAAATTTCAGAGTTGAACACATTCGGCTTGAGCCAGGTTTCAGTAAACACCAATACTTTGAGGTCAAAGTCATGGGACTATAAGTGTAACCTCGATAGCTTTGTGTTCAAAACTCTCACATTTTAGTAGTAAATGCTAATGGTGAGGTTACTTACTAATTTTTTTATGCCGAGGTGGAAGGCGGAAATTGAGCCAAATTTTGCCCTTGCGGTCTAGATCTAAATTCAAATTCGCGAATGAAAGCACCGCTTGGCCAAAAAGATGGGCTCATTATTCAAAACAGTCTTCGGATATGTCTATTTTGAAAGAAGAAATGCTTCTTTCTTAGGCGAATCTGAACTTACGTACATGCAACTCATATGCTTTTAGCTTGGATGTTAAATACCCCTTCACATCATCGACAGTGGTATCTTTTGAGAACCTAGATGCAAATACCGATTTTTTGGAAGGAACAACGACTAATTCCCTCGGGACGGGGTTAACGTAATCGGTTTCAGATGTTGTAGGGGGTTGATGTGCAGATGTGGAGTTTTTGGAAACAGCAACGATGGTTTCAGATGTTGTAGGGGGTTGAGATGTAGCTGTAGAGTTTTTGGAAGGAGCAACGACTAGTTCCTTCGGGATGGTGTTGACGCAATCCGTTAAAGTACAAAACCGCGTATCGTCGTTCTGCAAAACCGCGTAACTAAAATTTTTTGCCAAAAATTTGATTTGCTCACAAAAGCTCTTGGTTCAATCCTTATTCATTCTTCCTGAAATATACTAGTCAGAAATGCGATTGCTTTATAAAAAAAAGAACGATTTTGAAATACGAATGTTTTTACTCTCTAGAAAATAATTTATGCGACCTCACATACGCGGTTTTGCATTATCTTTATACGCTGTTTTGCATTTTGTTGATACGCGGTTTTGTACTAGTATAAACGATGATAAGAGATGTGATTAACTACTAACTCAACGAACTCTTTTATGGAGGCTAACCGAGTGCTAGAGATATTGTTATTAGAAAAAAAAAAATGTTTGAAGATTTTGAGAAGGACATATGAAAGCATTTATTAATATTTAAGTAAAGCTGGTTGATATTACACCAACTGATCAGGTTACTCAGATCGTGTTGCAGAAAAGAAACATCCGACAAGTTTAATTCTACAAAAAAGTTTGAGGTTTGAGTTAAATTTGTAATAGGAGCCGATGTCATTTATAAAAATAACGAACAAAAGGGGTCCTCGGATTCTGCCTGGGGGAACAGCTGATGTTGCCACAAAAGAGTGGGATATACAGTTTTCGGCTTCAACAAACAACGTCCTATTAGACAGATAATATTTAAATCATTTTAGAAATGCAGAGTGAAAGCCGATAGACTCAAGTTTAAGCAATGAGATTGAGTGAGAGACCTTATCAAAGTCCTTCGAAAAATTGAAATGGTATCCACCTGAATACCATCTTTGAGAGGTGATACACAAAATTAAGAGAAAGATGCCAAGTTAGTAACAGTGGAACGCCCGACAACAACCTGTG